GGCAACCTGTTCCAGTGTCTCATCACACTCATCATTAAAAAAATTCTTCTCTATGTCTAATCTCAATCTACTCTCTTCTAGTTTAAAACCATTGCCTCTGGTCCCACTGCAACAGGCCCTACTAAAGTATGTCTCCATCTCTCTTATAAACCCCCTTTAAGTACTGAAAGGCTACAATAAGGTCTCCCTGGAGCCTTCTCTTCTCCAGGATGAAGAATCCCAGCTCTCTGAGCCATTCTTCATAGCAGAAGTGTTCCAGTCCTCTCATCATTTTTGTGGTGCCCTGTGCTGGGTTTGTATGTGTGGTGGGGGTTTCTGGTAGCAGGGGAAGGAGCTATAGCAGCAGTACCCTGTGAGAAGCTTCTCAGAGCTCCCCCAGATCCCAGTCTGACTCACCTCTGGCCGGGGCCGAGCCAATTAGTGATGGTGGTTGCGCCTCTGCAACCATGTATTTAAGAAGGAGATCCTGGCAGAGAGAGTGCAAGTTGCAAGGAGGAATTGAAAGGAAGACACCTTTGCAAACATCATGGTCAGTGGAAGAAAAGAGGAGGAAGGGTGGGGGATGCGCTGGTGCAGAGATGGCAGGGCTACCCCACTGCCACTGATGGAGGTCCACAGTGGAGCAGAGATACACCTGCAGCCACTGGAGGACCCCACACTGGAGGAGGTGGTACACCCAAATAAAGCCAGGACTCTATGGGAAGAAGCCCCCGCTGCTGTAGCTTGGTGCTGGGAGGACTGCAACGTGGAGGAAGGGCCCATGTTGGAGCAGCTCAAGAAGCGCTGTGGCCAGTGGGAAAGACTCATGTCAGAGGAAGTTCATGGAGGACTGTCTCCCGTGAGAAGGACAACATGCTGGAACCGGGGAAGAGTGTGAGGAGTCTTTCCCCTGAGGAGGAAGGAGCAGCAGACTGACAATAACCCACAATCCCTGCCCCCTGTGTCACTGGGGCAGTGGAGGTAGAGAAATGCCAACCAAAGCTGAACCAGGGAAGAATGGAGGGGTGGTGGGAGAGGTGTCTTAAAGATGTGGTAATGTTCACTGTCCTACTCTGATTGTTAAGTGTTGTTAGTGTCTGAATTAAATTGATGTTCTTTTTTCTTCCCCTAACAAGTCTGTCTATTGCCCATGACCATAATGGGTGAGTCACTCCTCTCTGTCCTTATTTTGATTCCTGAGCCTTTGGCTTTATTTTCTCCTTCCCATTCCTGAGGAGAGAGGGGTGAGACAGTGACTGCACAGTGCTCAGTTGTCCTCTGGACCTCCTCTGTCAGGTCCATGTTTTTCTTGTACTGGGGGCCCCAGAGCTGAACACAGCACTCCAGATGGGGTCTCACCAGAGCAGAGTAGAGGGGAAGAATCACTTCCCTTGACCTGCTGTTCACAGTTCTTTTGATATAGCCAACAATATTCTGGGCTATCTGGGATGCAAGTGAATATTGCTGGCTCGTGTCCAGCTTTTCATCCACCAGTACCCCCAAGTCCTTCTCAGCAGGGCTGCTCTCAATGCCTTCATCCCCCAGCCTGTTTGGATACTGAGGTTTGCCTGGATCCATGGGCAGGAACTTGCACTCGGGCCTTGTTGACCCTCATGAAGTCCACATGGGTCCACTTCTCAAGCCTGTCAAGGTCCTTCTGGATGGCATCCCATCCCTCAAGCATGTCAACTGCATCACTCAGTTTGGTGTTGTCTGCAAATCTGCTGAGGGTGCATTTGATCCCACCGTCCACACCACTGATGAAGATATTAAACAGTACTGGTTCCAGTATGGACCTTATCACTGATCTCCATCTGGACATTGAGCCATTGACTACTACTTTCTGGATGTGATCATCCAGCCAATTCCTCATGCATTGAACAGTCCACCCATTAAATCCATATCTCTCCAACTTAGAGAAGGATGTTGTGAGGGACCATGTCAAACGCCTTACAGAAATCCAGATCGATGACATCTGTAGCTCTTCCCTTGTCCACTGATGTAGTCACTCCATCATACAAGGCCACTATGTTAGTCAGGCAAGACTTGTCCTTGGGGAAGCCATGCTGGTTGTCTCGAACCACCTCCCTGTCCTCTGTGTGCCTTAGCATAGCTACTAGGAGGATCTGTTCCATGATCTTCCCAGGCACTGAGATGAGGCTGACAAGTTGGTATTTCCCAGTGTCTTCCTTTCTACTCTTTTTAAAAATGTGTGCAATGTTTCCCTTTTGTCAGTCACTGCAGACTTCACCTGACTGCCAATGACTCTTCAAATATCATGGAGAGTGGCAACTGCTTCAGTCAATTCCTTCAGGACATTGGGATGTATCTCATCAGGCCCCATACACTTAAGTATGTCCATGCTCTCGGGTATCCTCAAACATGATCTTCTCTTACAGTGAGAGGGACTTTGCTCCCAAGGTCCCTGCTTTGCAATTCATCCACTCGATAGGCGTGGGAAGAGAGGCTGCCAGTGAAGACTGAGGCAAAGAAGCTGTTAAGTATGTCAGCCTTCTCCTTGTCTGTTAATCAGTTTAACAGTTCTGTTAATCTGGGGGATACACCTTCTTTGACCTTTACCACCATACTGTTTTAAATGTTAATACTATATGCTGATGATGCAAAATAACTGCAATTGAATTACCTATATAATTTAATAGAAAAAAAACATACTTCACTCAGATACACTACACTATTCCAGGATTGCACCCATCCCATTTAATTTGAAGGTTACATTTCAAAGAGATTCAATACTGCACAGTGTCCCTTCCTCTACTTATCTCAACTTTTCTAATCCATCAGATTCAGGTAGCAAAGAACTGGTGAAACATCTTAATCACAAAGTCTTCAACACTCTGCAATCCCCGTATTTTATAGCAGTATCTACCAAGCCCACAGTTTCTGACTGTTAACGCCCACATAATGAGGTCCAAAAGAATGAAAGCTGATGTGGTCTGAGCAAGGAAATATTCACAAGCTCCAACCATCCAAGCAAAATCACATTTTTGCTCAGCGCAAAACAATTCCTATGTTACTGTTTTTTCTTAAGTAAATATGTCTGCCTACACAGTATCTTCCTAGTTATTACAGAGCAATGGTAAGTTCTCATTAACCTCAGTTTTGCCAGAGGGAGGGCTTACAGTGTACTCATTTGCATTGGCCCTGTGTTTCTATGCTTGGAATAATACTTATGCATATTATTTAGCCATGTAACAAATTGACAATTACATTAGAATAAGCCTCGCTCATGCATAGTTCATAGACTCTTTAAAACATAAAGAAAATACACCATGTTATTATCAGAATAGACTTTCATATCCTACCCCACAGGCATGCCTGACCCAGAGGAACTTTAACTGTGACTTCTAGCACAGTTCCATGGTCAGGGAAATCACTGAACTTGTGAATCTGATAGTGTAAAGCATGATAAGTTTTGTATGGGATGTGATATAGAAACCCCCTTATCTGGTTGAAGATGCAAAGTAATCATGCAAGAACAATTACCAAACTCTATTGAGCTAGAGAAAGTTTCAGATGCATGAGTGTGACTTGTCACCAGTGACCTGAGAGGAACAGTGCGGTAACAATCAACAGTGCTGTAATAACAAAACATTTTCACTTTCTGAACATTTTCTTGAAAGACTTCTAGAAATACAGTTTCATTTTTAAATTCTTTGAAGCTTACCCAGCTTAACATTTATAAAATTTAAAAACTAAAATGCTCTAAATTGCAGGATTCACTGACAGAATTACTATTAAATAAATAAAAAGCACATTAAAAACAAATACTAAAAATATATATTGCTACGAAAAATCCTATTTGTGTGATATGTACATCTTAGAAATCACTCTGTCACTTCAACTGACCTGCAGAATGTTTTAAAGCTGGTTTAATTTCCCAAAATCACACAGACATGTTGTAGGGGACCACTTGCATTAAGTTCAACTAAGAAGCACAGATAGTAATGCGGTTACACTCCCACATTAATATGTCTAAAGCAGTTTACAAGGCTTGTAAATACCTGCCGGGGCTGAGGGCCAGAGAATATACAGCATTAGCACCAGGGAGTTGCACTTGCTTCATGCAAGTATGCCTACATGGACCAAACTTCTGGCAATTTTACAGGGTTATATTTTTTTTTTTTCCTGGTACTTCTTAACAGCTCAGAAGTACCGAACAAACAGATTTAATAAAAGAAGCTAGCTTTGAATATCCACCTTCAGTCAAGCACCTTGGACTTTGATACAGAGTAGCCTGTCTCCATACAGCAACATGTGGAAAAGTGTTACAGCCCAACAGCTCCATGGGATGAGAAAACCACTGAGGTTGAAAAGGACCTTTGAAAATTGTGCAGATTAACTCCTCTGCTCAGGCAGGGTCAGATGGAGTAAACTGCCCAGGACTATGTCCAGTGAGGTTTTGAGAATCTCCAAGGATGGAGACTTCACACACTTCTGGCCAACCTCTGCTAGTGCTTGACCACCCTCATGGTAACAAAACAGTTTTGTCTTGTGTTCAAACAATATTCCCTGTATTTTGATGTGTGCTCATTGTCATTTGTCCTGTCACTGGGCACCAGCAAGAAGAGTCTGGCTCCCTCTTCCTCATTCCCTCCACTCAGATTACTTATATACATTGATGAGATGTCCCCCGAGCCTTCTCTTCGCCAGGCTGAACAGTCTCAGCCCCCTCAGCCTTCCCTCATGCAAGAGATGCTCCAGTCCCTCCATCATGTTTGGCCCTGCACTGGCTTCGCTCCAACCTCTGCGCCGGGGGGCCCAGACCCAGACCCTGCGCCCGGGTGTGCCTCTCAGCGGGGCCGAGCGGCCTGCTCCCGCTCCCCGCTCCACAGCATGAAGCTCGCGTGGGGCGGGTGAGGCCCGAGGGTCTCAGGGCAGAGCAGGGCAGGGCTGACACCTGGCCCCGGCGCGGCCCCCGCCCGCCGCAGCTACATCGCTTGGCCCCCCACCCCTCCCTCCCCTCCCGAGGCGCAGGGGTCTCCCGCCCCGCCTCCCCTCACCGTATAGCCCCGCTCCAGCTCGCTCTCCTCGTAGCGGAAGGAGGGGATGTACACCTCCATGCCGGCCCGGCTCCCACTCAGGGCCGCGGGCTCCCGACCAGCGGCGCCGCCGCAGCCATCTGCACGCCGCACGTGACTCCGCGCACGTGACGGCAGGCGGGGCGGGGAGGGGCGCGCGGCCCGGCCGTTTGGCTTCTGCCGCTGTGGCCCCGCCTCCTCCCCCCCTCCCGCGTCGAGCGGTTGGGGGGATGTGGGGGAGAAGGGCGCGGGTTCCTCTGAAAACGCCGTATTTTAAACAAACAAACAAACAAACAAACAAACCTCCTCAAAAAAACACCAAAGTTTGAGAGCACCTGCTTTAGCTGCGCCGGGGCAGCAGTGTTGCTTCGGACACAGGAAAACGGGGAGAAAAAAACAAATTTATCCAGTCCTAAACTCACACCACGGCTCAAACTACTTCCTGTGCCTGCACGGTCAACAGGCTCCCGGTAGCTGTACAAACATTGCATTGTGACCTAATACATGAAAATATGAGGGGAAAAAGAAAGGTTTCAGCGCTGCGCAAAGTTGTCCATGGTGTGGCTGTCCCTCAGAAGCTGCTTCTTACTTCTTTAGCAGAGCAAACCAAATCTTTCCAGGGAAGTGCAGGTGATTTATAGTCACTGGGGAAATTAACTAATACTTCTTACTCCCCCAAATAAGCAGCTGTGTTGATGACATAAAAAAGTAATGGAGGGAGAAACAGAAGGTGGAATACTAGATCCATTTAGTAGGCAGTGCTGTTGCATAGGGTAACACTCTCACCTCACAATGCGCTAACCCCAAGTGCCAAAACCATTTGGAAGCACTGCAAAATGACAAGCCAGAGCTGTATTTGATGGCAGTACCTTAAAACTCGCCTCGTAAGGTCTTACAAATGCTGGAGAGTCTCAGACACTAAACGGTTAAGATACCCAATTTCACCATCTCTCACAGATCTTTCAAAGATTAGCTACCATTATAAATTCACGTGAAAGCAGGATTTGATTTTGTGTAAGCATGGTTAAGTATAAAAACAGACCTCAGAAATGGACGGAAAACAAATGATTACTTTTATCTGACCTCTGTGGTTACGCTATCTCAGTGCTTCTCAGATCAGCTTTTTGAAATGTCTTCTGAAAACTAATTTGCTTCCTTCTAGACTAGTAACATCAGGGGAAAAAACATTACAAGCTCTTTTCCCCTCCATTTCTCTTTGGTTTACTGCCATCCGAATTTGATTATTTTTTGCTCTAAGCGAAGACCTGTGACCTGAAGAATTCAACATAAAATGGAAGGCTTTTCACTAAAACCAAGAAGACTACAGCAATCTAACACTAGTTCACTTTGCTAAACTAAAGCAAAGTAACAACCATACATAATAAAAAAATGACCTGAAATCAAAGCAAGATAATCACCAGGCATTCATTTCTGTACCATGCTGCTCCTGTGCCCATGTCCTCAACTGCTGATGACCAGCGGGACAGTCTCAGCACTCTTCTGTGCTAGTGGTGACAGAGCAAACAGATTTCCAGTCCCCGTGTGCTTTTGCTGTAGGGACCATGTCCTTGAACACAGTGATGACTGAAGGGAGTGAATAAGGAATCCCATTTTCCCCCAAAGCATACCTCGATAAATACAATATAATCATCCCAAGGGAAGACAGGCCATATAATGATAGTCTAATCAGCCTGGGGTATGCTAGAGAATAATTATTATGCTGTCATTATTGTTAGTTTCTAGCTAGACGTAAGTCTTGAAGCTTAGTTTCTCTTCTTTCCTTGATACAAATTGGATGGACAATTCTAATGACATCATTTATACCATAATGCATTCATGCTGATGAGAAGACAGTAGAAGAATTTCATAGGGACACTATTTGTGGTTGTTTGCAATCTAATAACCAATTACTTCAAAAAGCTACTTTTCTCCCTAATATCATATAACTTATTAACAAAGAAAAGTTTGAGACATTAATCTGGTTTCAAATTCAATAGTACATAATGGAACTTTTGGCTGTGCATCAGCCAAGAGGAACAAGGAAGATTACATGGTGAGCTGAATTCAAATACATCAATATGTTTTGGAATGTTAAATACTTAATTTGCACAATATATCATCATTAGTTGGCTAATCTTTAAAGATACATCTAAAGAAAAAATAGGATTTCTCCACATGGCTGACTGGTCATGGATTGTCTTTCTTTCTGATACACTGAGGAGCAAAAATTTAAGAAACATTAATTCATAAAATGCTATCAATGTGTGTTGAAGACCATCCAGGATTCTTGTTTTTGAAAGCTAATTGCACAAGTGATACAATGATTTGCACAAACAACAAAGCAAGGAGACTGTATTTTAAATGTAGCTTGATTTGAATCAGTGTAACATATTAAAAATCATGTTAGTAATCTTAAAAGCAAACCTGTAAAAGGCTTGAGCTCTACTGGTAACAATTACATAGGCAAATAAATTAATACAAAAATTCTAATCAAAGTGATACATAAAGTACACATCAAACAAGAGGCCAGATTAAAAAAAAAGAGAGTACTTGATAAGATCACAACCTCAGTTTGCTGATTTTTCAGTTCTTACCAGAAAGACTGGTTTTAAGTAAATTTGCACCTCACAGTACTCCTAAAGATATTGGTCTCCTCAGTAAATAGTGGCAAAATTCAACATACTTCATAAAACTTTTGAGTTAAACAGCAGCTGCTTTTTAAGGAGTTCACGTCTTCCTCACTCCTCTAAAGATTTAGATGCATTTTTTTTCTTTTTTTTTTTTTTTTTTTTAAGCGGTGTAGTTGTTCCTAAAATATCACAAAGCAATTTCATAAGCTGGTGAGTACAAACAAGACCACTTGGAAAGATGACAGGCAGAATCATAACTTATGAAAGGTCAGCCAGTTTCCTACCGAAGTTCACAGAATCAAATAAAAACCTCACTACTTCTAGTAGGCACATTTGAAGCTGGTAAGTAGGTACTTTTCTGAAAAGCTTGTGTGTGTGCACATGGATGGGTGGGGCAAGGGGGAAAAATCAAAGTAACAGTATGGAGTAAGATAACTGCAGGTTTTCATACAGTGCAGTGCTCCTCTACCCTGCTGAGATCTCTCCTGGAAGCTCCATACCAGATGCGAGGCTAAGATAAAGCATTTCTTCTCATGATTTGTGCTATCTTCCTTCCTTGTGCTCTTCTTATCTTGATCTCTCTAAACCACAGATACATTGTTTATCTCAAGTTTTTTCTCACCCTTCCATTTTAATTGCATATTTCTTTTACTTTAGTTTTCATACATTCTGCCTAAGCTTGAATATTCTTATAAAACCCTCTTTCTTAATGGCAGATTTTCTTAATGACAGAAAACAGATTTGGATTACTTTATATCCCTTCCCTATACTCCTAATTTCTTTACTGATCTGGAAAAAAACCCCAAACAAGTGTTTTAGCACTGAAGTCAAAAGTAATTTTACTTAGGAACAAGCTCATCCCCTTATTCAACTATTGGAAGACATGAATTTTAAGGGAGGAATCCCCCCAGCAGATAACAAGTATCATTTTGAACAACCTGAAACTTCAGCTCCTTACATGTTTTAATACTGAACTTTTTTTTCTCATATGGTTGTAATGGACTCGTATTTTGCCAGATTCAAATTATTACACAGACTGCTCTACTCTAAAGTAGGAGAGAAAAAAATAATTTTTTTTTTTTTTTTCTTTAAGACAATCATTTCACTGTACACATAATTTTAGTGGATGTTGGCTGTTCACTTAAATGCACAGGACACACTAGCCAGAAGCTTATCTCCACCAGAACTTGAAAGAAACTGACATATCTGGGGCATGAACTCCAGAGATGCCGAAACACAAACTCCCATATGAGGCCTTCAGAAGGAAGCAATTTAGGAGAGATAAAGGAAGGAATAATTGATAGGGAAGCAGAATATTCCATTTTAAAAGGGGCAGTGACTAAAGAATCAGAGACTTATTGTAGACTGAGTGTCAGTTTAAGAAAGAGGTAACAATGTCTTCAATTGAGCCACATCACATCATGTATTTTTAATTCAAAAAGCACCATGAACATGGTGGGTACAAGAATGGGGATGATTTTAAATTGTTGTAAACATCTATAGAGTTTATTTTAACCTAAGAAGTAAATCAGCACTCTGTCTTTTACACAGTATTCCGAATATAGTTCACCATTTTGCAAACATTCATTTTGTTCATGCTAGTGATTCTTCAGTGGTACAGTGGCTTGGAGTTTCAGGGAAACAACACTTAAATTTAGTACAAGATTCTGTAGTGAGCTCCACTGAGAAAACAGTTCAGCAACACCTCCATTCATTTGGCTTGAGAAACATCTGCTGATGTTAGTTGTGATAGGAAAGACGATAAGCAAACATTCAATCTTTACCATGTAAGGGAATATACACAAAATAAACTAACAGATTCTTGAAACAACAAGAGTTTTATGCTAGCCAAATGTGAAAGTTGATCTGGGTATTCTGTTCAAATTAACCTTGTGATGCAAAACCAGAACACAATTTTTTTGTATTAGCAACCCTCTGTGACACTGAGCTCCAGAAATGCTACTACCTTTTTTGTTCCCCAACAGGCTTCTGGTTTTAAGAAAAAAAACCTGTACAACTCATTCTCATTTTCAGTTGTCTAGTATAGACAAAGTCACACTAATTCCTGATAGGAGACTAACGTGAAAGCTATTTCTCATTCTCTCATCGTGGAGAGAAGAAACCTGATCTATAACTCAACGGAATTCTAATCCTGATAGAAGCAAAAAAATAAAGAGCTAAGAAAGTTGGATACAACATTTAAAGAAAAAAGATCATGAAAATATATGTTTACCCATTTTGAGCTCTGTATGTCCAAACTGAGTCTGTAATTCTAGAAGTAGCCACTTTCAATCTCACTGAAATGAATCTGAGGTTTAATGTTGAGCTGTTGGCCAGTTTCCATTAGGACTGAGCAAGCCAAAGTGAAGTATATCATAACACTTTACAGTAGAGTGCCTAGATTAATTTCTTCATTGTAAACCTGTTGCATACTTGGGCTTTTCAAGCACAGCTACAAGCTAAATAACTTAACACTGATACACAAGCTTAAGATTTTC